ATCAATCCCCATTGATCCCCAGGGCTCCCTATTGATCCCTATTGATCCCTAACATTCCCTATGGCTCTCTTTTAATCCGTATCGATCCCTATCGGTCCCTATTGATCCATAGCAATCCCTGGGGCTCTCTATTGATCTACTGACCTCTATTGATCCCTATTGATCCCTAGGGCTCCCTATTGATCCCTATTGATCACTATGGCTACCTATTGATCCCTATTGATCTCTAAGGTCCCCTATTGATTCCTATTGCTCCCCATTGATCTCTGTTGAACCCTATTGGTTCCTATTGAACCCTATTGATTCCTATTGCTCCCCATTGATCTCTATTGAACCCTATTGGTTCCTATTGAACCCTATTGGTTCCTATTGATCTCTATTGCTCCCTATTGATCTATTGATCCTTATTGATCCCTATTGCTCCCTATGGCTCTCTATGGATTTCTAGGGTCCCCTATTGATCCCTATTGCTCCTCATTGATCTCTATTGAACCCTATGGGTTCCTATTGATCCCTATTGGTTCCCATCGTCCCCTATTGGTCTCTATTGATCTCTATTAGTTCCTATCAATCCTATTGCTCCTTATGGCTCCCTACTGACCCCTATTGATCTCTAGGGTTCCCTATTGATCCCTATTGATCCCTATTGATCCCCATTGATCTCTATTGATCCCTATTGATCCCCATTGATCTCTATTGATCCCCATTGATCCCCATTGATCTCTATTGATCCCTATTGCTCCCCATTGATCTCTATTGATCCCCATTGATCTCTATTGATCTCTATTGCTCCCCATTGATCTCTATTGATCCCTATTGATCCCCATTGATCTCTATTGATCCCCATTGATCTCTATTGATCCCTATTGATCCCCATTGATCTCTATTGATCCCCATTGATCCCTATTGATCCCAATCGATCCCTATTGATCCGCTCTGGGTCTGGGGGTTCCCGGGGGTGCCCCCTGACTCACGTGACGACGGCGTTGGGGTTCTTCTCGACGGCGTAGACGCGGACCCGTGTCCCGGCCTGTCGCGCCGCGCGAAGGGTCGCAGACACCAGGGGACCCCGGCCCGCCCCCAGCACCATCACCACCCTGGAAACGGGGGATTTGGGTCATTTTGGGGGGCTTAGAGGGATTTTGGGATTTTTGGGGTTTTTTTTGTGAATTTTTGGGATTTTTCAGGGATTTTTCGGGGAATTTTGGGGTGTTTTTTGTGAATTTTTAAGGGGTTTTTGGGGATTTTTTTGGGTTTTCTTGGGGTTTTTCTGTGAATTTTTGGGGACTTTTGGGGGAATTTTTGGAGAATATTTGGAATTTTTTTTGGAATTTTTGGGGGTTTTTTGGGGGATTTTTTTGGATTTTTTTGTGAATTTTTGAGATTTTTTGGGGGAATTTTTGGGGAATTTTGGGTTTTTTTCAGGGAATTTTTGGGGGTTTTTTTGGAGATTTTTGTTTTTTCTTTTGGGATTTTTTGGGGAATTTTTGGGGTTTTTTTGGGGATTTTTTGAGGTTTTTTGTGAATTTTTGAGGGATTTTTTGGGGAATTTTTGGGGTTTTTTGGGGAATTTTTGGGATTTTTTTGGGATTTTTTGGGGAATTTTTGGGGAACTTTTTGGGATTCTTTTGGGGAATTTTGGGGGTTTTTTCGGGGAATTTTGGGGGTTTTTTGTGAATTTTTGGGGTTTTTTTGTGAATTTTTGAGGGTTTTTGGGGGGGAATTTTTGGGGTTTTTTTTGGGGAATTTTTGGGGTTTTTTTGGGGGGGAATTTGGGGTGTTTTCAGTGGGATTGGAAGGGCAGCGTCGCCAACACCAGGGGACCCCGGCCCGCCCCCAGCACCAGCACCACCCTAAAAACGGGGGATTTGGGTCATTTTGGGGGGTCTAGGGGGATTTGGGGATTTTGGGGGATTTTTTTTTAAATTTTTAAGGAATTTTTGGGGTTTTTTTGGAATTTTTGGGGGGTTTTTTTGTGAATTTTTGGGGTTTTTTTGTGAATTTTAGAGGGATTTTTTGGAGAATTTTTGAGGAAATTTTGGGATTTTTTAGGGGATTTTTTGGGGAATTTTGGTTTTTTTGGGGGGGAATTTTTGGGGTTTTTTTGGGGAATTTTTGGAGAATTTTTGGGATATTTTTGTGAATTTTTGGGGATTTTTTGGGGATATTTTGGGATTTTTTTAGGAATTTTTGAGGGGTTTTTTGTGAATTTTTTGGGTTTTTTTTGTGAATTTTAGGGGTAGTTTTCAGGGAATTTTGGGGTTTTTTTTTGTGAATTCTAGGGTTTTTTTGGGAATTTTTTGGGGATTTTTTGGATTTTTATGGGGAATTTTTGGGTTTTTTTTGGGAATTTTAGGAGTAATTTTCAGGGAATTTTTGGGGGTTTTTTGGGGTGATTTTGGGTGGATTTGAGCCGATTTTGGGGTGATTTAGGATGATTTTGAGGCGATTTTGGGGTGTTTTTAGAGCATTTTGGGGTAAATTGAGGTGATTTTGGGCTGATTTTGGGTTAATTTGAGGTGATTTTGGGGTGTTTTGGGATGATTTCGGGGTGTTTTTGCAGCGTTTTTTGGGTGTTTTGGGGTGATTTGAGGTGATTTTGGGTGATTTTGGAGTGTTTTGAGGTGATTTTGGGGTGATTTTGGGTGATTTTGGGGTGTTTTGGGTGTTTTTGGTGTGACTCACTGCACATTTGTGTCCTTCTCCTCCTCGGGCACTCGGTCCAGGAGACACTTGTAGATGGCCTAAAAAAGGGGGCGGGGTTATGCAAATCAGGGGCGTGGCCACACCAGCCCGACAACAAAGGGGGAGGGGCCACGGTTAAAGCCACGCCCCCAATTTTGGGGTGATTTTGGGGGAAAAAACGTCGAAAAAAGGAGGGAAAAAGTTGATTTTTGTTTTTTTTTTTGGCAAACTTAAGGTATGCAAATGAGGGGCGTGGCCATGCAAATTAAGAACTATTTATGCAAATTAGACCCGAGTTTCACAGGATTTGTGGGCGTGGCCACGCAAAGCAGGACGTAATTATGTAAATTAACAATTAGTAGGTTTAAAACCTGAGAGGCGTGGCTATGCAAATGAGCAACGTGCAGATTTTAATATATGAAAATTGGGGTCATGTTTATTCAAATCGGGGTGGAAATCAGGCTCATGAATATGCAAATTAGGGCTTAATTAGATGAGGTAAATATTCAAAGGTTCAAATTGAGGCCACGCCCACAAAACTGTCAGCAGAAACATGCAAATTATATGCAAATTCATGGGAGGAGCAACACAGATAATATTTAAATATTTAAATTAGAGTAAAAGCAATTTAAGTATTGGTCACGCCCATAAAATAGCAGCAGAAATATGCAAATATATGCAAATTTGGATACATTCAGGGGAGTGGTCATGCAAATGAGAACTGCCCTTATTCAAATGAGCCATAATAAATAATAAATAATAAATAATAAATAATAAATAATAAAATAAATAATAAAAATATAATAAATAATGAAATAAATAAAATAATATTAATAAATAATAAAATAAAATGAGCCATCAAATAATAAAATAAGTAAAATAATAATATTAATGAAAAACGAAATAAAATAAAATGAATCATCCGATAATAAAATAAATAAAAAAATAATATTATTAAATAATAAAATGAAATAATATGAGCCATACATAGCAAAAAAGTAAAATAAAAATATTAATAGATAACAAAAAAAAATAAAACCATAAAATAAATAGAATAATAATATCAATAAATAATAAAGTAAATTAAATAATAATAGTAATAAATAATAAAATAAAAAAAAAATAATATCAATACGCAATAAAATAAAAAATAATAACAGTAATAATTATTAAAGTAAAAAGTAATAAAATAAAATAATATCATTAAATAATAAAATAAAATAAGATAAAACCAATCAAAAATTAAAATAAAATAAAATTAAAATATGTTAATTAGGGGGTGTGGCCACCACCGAGACCCTCAAAGCCCCTCCCCAGGCCACACCCCCCACAAGCCACACCCCCTTTACCAGACCACGCCCCCTTTTGTAGGCCCCGCCCACCTGCTGGTACTGGCAGTACTTGATTGGGTCCTTCTCGAAGACCTCGTAGGTCTG